AAGGACTGGATCTGCCTTGAGCCAGTCCGTGAGGTGCTGACCACGAAGGCCGCCTGCCAGCCCCCAGGCTCAGCCTCTCACCCCGACCCGACAGACAGATGGGGCAGCAGGGGCGGAGCCGCTGGCCACACTACCTTCAGGACGGGGCTCAGGAAGGTGTCTCTCTTGTGCCGGCAGACTCTGATGAGGACCAGGAAGGCTAACACTCGCACCGTCTCCTCGCCCGTGCTCCACAGGACCACCATCCTCTGCAACGAGCGAGACTTCACAGCCGGCCCGGCCTCCCCAAGTCCAGCCAGAGGCATCCGTGGACATGGCCGAGAAGCAGCCCCAGTTTAGAGCCTGTTCCCACATGCCCAGCTGTGTTGCCCGAGGCAGACCCCAGTGTGGGGGCCATGCCTGAGGGTAGCCACATGCACTCGAGCACGCCAATGGGGAATGCCCACCTTGAGCAGCATGCGGCACTGCTTGGGGAAGGTCAAGAAGTAGGGCACGGAGCTGCTGATGTGCTGCAGGAGGGCTGCTGCCACCGTCGCCTCTGCCACGCAGGCCACTAGCTGAGGGAGCAGGAGGTCATGCCGCCAAACCCACCACATGGAGACACAGAGAAGGACCAGACCACTGCCCATGGCCAGGCCCTGGTGACCCAACAAGAGCAGACCCACCACGCAATGGACCCCCTAGGTTTCAAAAGCTGCCCCCGCGGACATCACACCTGTATGACTGAGCTCAGGTAAGCCTTGACGTCCAGCCGGAGCTTCCCCCACAGCGGGCTACTGGATGGCTGCAGCACCCTGCAGAGACCACCCCACCCCAGAGTGAGACCCAAACCTTAGACACCCCCAGCTTACACGTCTGTCCATGCACAAGACACAGGGCACGGGCCCTGTGGGGAGACCCTCTCAAGAGTGGCCCTGAGGGATAGACTGCCACTTCCCCAGGGTTCCCAGAGGCACACACCTGTGACAGGCAGGGAGGGCCCTGGGGTCTAACCCAGGCGCTAACCACCACCACTGCAACCAGGTATTCTGTGGCCCAAACAAGCTTTAAAAAAAGCTAGTCGCCCTGGTGGTCTACTCAGTGGACAGAGCGTCGGCCTGCGGACTTAAGCATCCTGGGTTCGATTTCTCTAGTCAAGGGCATGTACCTCAGTTGCAGGCTCAATCCTCTGCCCTGGTCGGGGTGCAGGGTGCATGCGGGAAGCAACCAATCAATCTGTCTCTCTCACATCAATGTTTCTCTCTGTCTCTCCCCCTCTCTTCCACTCTCTCTAAAAATCAATGGAAAAATACCCTCTGGTGAGGATTAGTAACGACAAAACCCCGAAGTGGCCCAGCCGGTGTGGCTCAGTGGGTTGAATGCCATCCCACGGACCAAGAGCTGAGCTGTGGGCTCCATCCCCAGTAGGGATGTGTGGGAGGCAGCTGATGGACGAGTCTCTGTCATCAATGTTTCTCTCTCCCTCTCCATCTAAAAATCAATAAAAAGATGTTTAAAAACCACCTGCTGAAGCACATGAAGGGGCAAAGGCCAGGGGCACCATGGCAGCTCACTCTGCCCAGGAGGCAGTGCTCTCCACTTCCTCCAGCGAGGGCCGTGCAGCGGCCTCCTTCCCGGGAGGGCACCGCCAATACCGCACCTGCGGCCCGCACACTCACTGCCAGCCCCTTCCGCCCTGCCCGGGTCAGACAGGGCGCCTCCCCTCGGCCCAACCCTCCTCAACCCATCTGTCCAGCCGGGTCACCACCACCAGGCCCAGGTGATGACAGAGGGCCTCTCTGGACACTTCTTTCTTCCTTTGAAATGGCTGTGTGGCCCGCCCTGCCCCAGGAACCTGTTCTACCATCTGCTGCCCTCCTCCCTCCTCTGCTCGATCTACCTCTAACTCTAACGCGGAAGGAAAGGTTCTCAAACCCAGCACCGACCAGGCCCCCCCAGGAGACACACCCAACAACCGCAGGGCAAAGGGCAGGGAGAGAGTGAACAAGACTGTTCATCCAAAGAGGAAAAAGAGAAGAACAGAGAAAAAGAAGGAGGGAGGGAGGGAGAAGGTGAGGAGGTGAGGAGGGAGGAAGGGAGGAGAGGAGGGAGGA